ACCACTTAAACATCAACAAGGAAAATAAGCTCACCCAAACCGAGGGTGTATTTAGGAACCCCAGGTAACTGGGATGGAAAAGAAGGCTCTGTACACTTGCTGCTGTGAAACACGGTTCTCTGCTCTAGAAAAAATGGAAAGGAGGCCAGAAAATGCAGGAGTACATGTTCTTTCCACCCTGCATAAAGATTCTGCTAGAGTGGAATGTAGGTCACACAATCAACTTGTATCTCATCTTCATCTGTCGCTCCCTCAGTGGGGGCACTAATGAGGTAGTGGCTTGGAGGAAGGGGGGTACTTCAGATCCACCCTTCAATTGAGTCTCATCAGCAGCCTTAGCCACTCTAATGAACACGATCTACATAAAAGGCAGTACTCACTGGCTAAGTGAACGTCTTCGGAGAGGTATTTTCTACCCAAGCCTGCCTCGGCCTGTTCTGCCAACCAGACGTTGTTTCCCCAAGCCACATAGAGAAACTGCCCTCAGCACCAGTCTCTTAAATACCTATGTGGTCCGTAGCTTCTAAACTTTAGACTCCCAGGGAAATCACTGAGGGGACACACCTGTGAGTGCTTAAGACAGAGACTTAGGTTTCCTCGGCCGCCAAGTTAGAAGTTGCAATATCAAAACGAGTGACAAGTAGCCCACATTCCTCACCCGAGAAGAACACGATACAAAATAGAACTTTCATTTTGATGGGTGCCCTCCCCACTCACCCCAGAGAGAAAACAGGTTTGCTAACCTAGGTTGGCAATGTTGCTTTGTTTCTGGCTGTCTAGGGGTAGACTTAACACTTGAAAATACCAGAGCATGGCTCAAAGCCAGAGAGGGCCCCACAGCAGTTACAAGCTCTGATTGTGATTATTTCCCGAACCAAAATACCTAAGGCACTCAGTTGGACCGAGCTGTGTTGAAAAAGCTTGTTTCCTCTGATCCAACAGCTGTAACTTTCAAAGTGTTTTCAGAGAAGACCTCAAGAAGCTCAAGCCAAAGCCACTCTTCACACCATCTCCAAAATATTTATAAAATGAAACACTTTCCATCTTAACTGTGTTTTGTTTGTAAATAACCTATTTGTTCTGAGGACCACAGTATTGAAAGCAGCCTTTGAAACAAAGTAGCTCAAATAAAACAACACACACACACATTCTTAACACCCAGAGTGTGTCCACAAAGCAAGAAGGCCAGGATTCAAATTCCTTAGCACCTATTCACTGAGCTCCTGGAAGCACCACCCAAGGATGTGACCTACCACACCCTCTTCCCATCACACCTCCTCACTTTATCCTTCAGAAACCCACAGACCCCAACCACTGGATGATAACACAATGTTACAAATGTTGAACATTTGTTCTCTCACGGCATCCAGCCTGGGACAACTGATCCTATTCGGATCCAGATGAGAAAACCATTATCTCGCAGCTCTTCTGGGAGCCACTGATAGCCTGGCAAAAGTCTCTAGCTATCATTGCCTCGGTCTCTCTCCCTATGCTACTGCCATAGAGCTCCTGGGAAAGGTATTTGGCCTGTAGACAGTACAATTAAGAGAAATGTAGACATGTTGGGCTGGACCTATACTACAACGGTTAGGTGTTGTGTGGACGGAACTCGATACCACAGGGCCAAACACTGTTGGAGTCTTGAGGTACACATGCATGTATGCCAGGACCCTGATGGGAAAAAAGAATGAAGAAAGGGGATTATGGCACGACCGGGCCCCATTGGGGGTGTCTTTGCGCTTTCTCTCCGGCCTGCCCACACACTCCTGGCATTAAAAAAATAAAGAAAGAAGAAGGAGAAGAAGAAGAAAAGAGAAAAGAAGGAAAGAAAAAAAAAAAGAAAAAGAAATTTAGAAATACCTAGTGTGGGGACCAGTAGATGGCGCAATGGTTACATCACTAGATTCCTACATAGTTGACTGTGGTTTGAGTATCAGACTTGGCGGCTTAAACTCATGTCAGGCATGAGTGTGTGCATGTCCAAAATTCTAAGAGGAGAATAGAGGACAAGGGATTGCAGCAAGGCCATCCCCCTGGGGTGGGGGGGGGTGATATCTCTATTTCTTTCTCTGTCTCTCTAGTGAGCACACATGCCCTATAGCAAAAATCTCTCTTTAAAAAAATTTTGCCTAGTTTGAGGCAATAAGAAATTGTAACTACCAGGAACCAGCAGTTAGCGTAATGGCTATGTTGCTGGACTCCCACGTAGTCGACCATGGTTCACATCCCGGACCCGGTGGCTTAAAACTCACACTGGGCGCGTGTGCATATGTGCCCAAGATCCCGAGAGGAGAATGGAGGAGAAGGGATTGCAGCGTGACCATCCCCCCTGGGGGGTGATTTCTCGCTTTCTGTCTCTATGTCTCTCTCTGTCTGTCTGGCGAGCGCACGCGCCCTATAGCGAAAACCTCTCAAAAAAAAAAAAGAAATTGTAACTACAAATAATTATTTATGTGGATGAATATATTCCAAAAGCAAATAATTGTTGAAATACATCTATTTCAAACACATAGCAAGCCTTTAACCACACAGGAGTGTTGGCTTATGCTGAGATGAAACTGTTTCACAGAAAAGGGATCATTAAGATGCACCAGAGAACTATCAGTGGTATTAATATGGGCTTTAGGTCTCCAAACCCAATTTGGGTCTCCAAATCCAACTCTACTACTTACTATTCATTCAATAATTATTAAAGACCTTGAAATGAACAAACGCTGTTCTAAATATTTGGGAGACAGAGGAGAATAAGACAAAGACTGTCCTCATGGAGCTTACAATCTAGTAGAGGAGACAAGCAAACAGAAAAATGAAAGACATTTTCATTTAATGCTAAATTCTAGAACAAAAATAAAGAGTAAACGATCAATTTAATCCTGTTTCCTCACAGGGATATAACTGCCTACTTCAAACAAGATGACGAGTGTCATTCACCTGGCACCAGTCATGCCCAAGCACGTACGTGCACATGCATAGCGACCCGCAGATGCACTACCCTCCCCCAGCTGCATCACCTCTTCTGCAATAATGTACCTTGGTATAACATACAGGGGCGGGGCCAGAGGTGACACAGTGCTAACACAGAAAACACGAGGGCTGACCCACATCCCAGAGTTCTGGGTTCCCATCCGGAAACCTCCCTCAGCACCTACAGTGCAGATATGCCATGATCAGAGACTTGCTGAGGCTGGGGTGGATCACGGTGTAAAGATATTGTTGAGTGCTATCTCTGTCTCTTTCCATCTCTCTCACTGATGGGAGAAATAGATGAATACATTTTTTTAATTTAGTTTTTTTGTTTAGGTGTTGTTACTACTTTTTTTAAAATTTCCTACAGGACACATGCACTCACCAGAAAGAGACAAAGTGAGAGAAAGTAAGAGAGCAAGCCACCAGGTCTGGGACTCAAACCATGTTTAATCTTGTGGGAGTCCAGAGCCCTATCCAGCATGCCACCTGCTGGCCCCTAGAGGAATACATTTTTTCAAGCAGGGGAAAAACAAATGATCTGTATAATGCAATTATACTGAATGCAATTAAGTTACAAGTAAATGCATTTGTCAAAAATCTGTAAAAAGCCAAAACTGTAAAAATTCATTTTAAGACTAAAGTAAAATCATGTGAATCCAGATACTGGGGTAACGGTACAGGACGCGTTACAAATAGTGACATAGCTACTGTGCATGCTAAAGGGTTGCAACGAAAAGCCTGGCAATGCTGCCTTACAGCTAAGGCTCAGAGACAGTAACCTAATGCCATAGCGTCAGAAGCTGGGTTTAAACCTTCATCAGATTGCGAGTGAGTGAGGGCGTGGGGTGGAGAGGGGGCAATGACCAAGTCTTTCTTAGAGTCTCAAGATTTCATACCTAGAATCCACCTTAGGGAATCCTTCCCACACGGCCAGTGAGGAGGCAGCGGTCTCCAGGGGTGAAATGGCACAGCTGGTAATGACAGCAACCCCAGAGCAGGATCCAGGGCTCTAAATTCCATACCCACGTGCTTCACTCTCAAGGGCTGGCATCCTCTAAGTCAGAATTTAGATTTTATGAGAACCATGAGGGATGACACTGACGTTCAAAATTTTAACCTCAGTTATTCCCTGTCTCCGATGACTTCCAGTCTCTGCACCTAGGGCCAACTGGGGAAGCCCTTGGCTGGTAACCAGGGAGCTCTCCATGCAGAATCCGGGAGAAGGGAGCACACTCTAGAGAATGCTGCCTCCATACTACTGGCTACGTTACTGGGGGAAAGGTGCACCAGCCTGAAAAGGGAAA